TTTTTTTTTTTTTTTTTTTTTTTTTTTTTGTTTCGGTGTGTAAAGATGAGACAGCTGAACAAACACTAACCCAGATTTTTACTGTCCTAGATAGCACGTGACCATTTCCAGAGCATGTTTATGTTTCTCCACTCACAGTGGCCCCGTGACATTCAGTCCTGCACTGCTCAGTGAAACAAAACCCATCGTGGGGGGAAACCTTCCTGCACTTGCTTGCACTGTCAGCACCTTCCTAGCTAAAGTATGGACACAGGCAGCAGAGACATCCACCAAACCCTTCTGAATGAAGAGAGAAAACGTCAGCAATTAGCTGGCTTTCTCATTTAGAGAATGGTCCTTTCAGGTCTCCAAGTTTTTAAGTTCTTCAAAGATTTCTTCATCTGTGCATTCCACCTCCCCTGTTCTTTGCCCCTCAAAGCACTTCTCTCTGAATAAATGGAAGCTGCAATCAGGAACCAAAAAGAGCCTAGGAGAAAAGCTTTATGCATGTATTTTTGGTGAATTGGGATGGGCATGCACTTCAGTCATGTATTATCTCGCCTTAGCTTTACACATTGTACTGGGTGTGGGGTCCGTCTTTTTCAAAGTTCCAGGAAGCACCGCAAGCTGGGAGAAGAGCTGGATGACCTGATGGGTCTTTTCCATTTCTAATCTATGAACCTGGACCTCAAGAAGTCACAGCCCTGGCTCTGAGGCAGCTTGACATTCACCTTCCCCTCTTGCTCTGCCAGTGTCCTCAGGATAATTGTGATCCGTAGGGAGGGCAAGCAGTTAGGGAAACTGAAGCACATAGAACGGATTCAACAAACCAAAAGAACATTGTGAAACATGACCTAAGTGCTTAGTAATTTTTCTATGCATTGTCTAAAATCGGGCTTGGAAAGGTCTTCAGTTCAAGACACATGAACAGATCCTAAGCCCAAGAGACACAGACACTTCAGTGACGTGGGAGTGTTTAGTCCCCTCTCCTCCCCGAAAGTGAAGCACATCAGACACATGCAGAAACTGAGACACCTAACAAGAATGAAGCTGTAGAGAAAAATCCTTACCATAAATCCTGTAATAAATAAAGCTTCTTCACATACTGACATTCCCAATTACAGTAATACTTAACTTTTTGTTAAAACTAAATAACATGTTATTTAATGCCACCCATTAAAGAAAGAATAAAATTTAACAAATTTACTTCTACTCTCCATTATTATAGAAAGACTTTTAAATAAACATAATGGCCTTGCTTTGTACACTCAACATAAGTACAGCACTTGAGATAGTTTTAAATCTTCTAGGATTTCTCTCCCTGAAATTCATCAGACAGACAGGAGGCTGCATGGACACAATATATAGCTCCTCGAATAGCTGAAAGCATGAAGAGAATTAATACACTATTCTCTGGTCTGGAAAAGCAGACTCAGTACTGGCTATGAGGCCTAAATACACAGCAGCAAACTTTATGTAATAACCCAGAAAGAAGCTATAAAGTCAGATGTTTTTCTTTGCCGTTCTCCTTACCAATTTGCTAATCCAAGTTTACTACTAACCTTGAGTTTTCTCAAGGCTCATTTACTTACAGCTACAGAATGACCAGAACATCCTTTCCCATCCATAAGGGCAGGATGGGTCAGGGAATTTCATCATCCACCTCGTATCATTTTCTAGTCCCTTTTCTGAGCCGTACCATAACTTTGTTCCTCTAAATCCTTCACTTCAAACCCTCAAGTCCTGCCTACCCCTTTCCTCTCTTAGACAGTGTAGGTTGGGCAGCTGGTGAATTCTGCCAGAACTGCCATCGCACACAAGCCTGTTCGCAAAGTGACATATAGAGACTTGGAGATGTTTGTCCCTGGACAGTTCTGAGCAAACATTAAGCCCATCCATACAACCCCCTCTAACCAATCACTTAAGACAGACACAGACTACACATCTACAGACAGGCTGAGATCAATTTTTTTGTTGAATATTGTCAATATTTTTGTCAGTAGAAATGGTGTTGAATCACAGAATCTGCGCCAAAAAATCATTCTGAATGGGAACTTCCATATATACCTGAGTATGATGGCAAAAATGTAACTTTAGGGACTCGGTTTGAATCTTTTTAAAACCTATTATTTGCGGTCTGAGCAAAGGTGAGGTCAAGCTCACCAAACACTTACGGGAGACAGAAATACTGGTGAGGGAGAGGGCCAGAGATTACTATAATCACAAGTGGAAGGAGCAGACAGTTTCCACTTCTAAAGGGATGTGGGTGGATGCCTTGTATTTAGGATTACCCATTCCAGTCATGGGCATCTTTCCAGCTTTCCAGTGTGCTGAACCTGCAGATGCACCGAGCTAACAGCGAAGGGAGATGGACACCCAAGTCACTGCTTAGGGTGCATCTCCAGGAGGAAAATGATACGTACCCTAAATATTTGCACTAAACACCTGCCTTTGGTGTCTGCTGGTCAGTTTAACAGCACCCATATTATATAAAAGGGAAAAACAAAACCCATCATTTCTGTGTTTACTGCTTGAAGTGCAGTAAGAATTCAAAAAAAGCACCTAACAGAGAAAACATTCAGGAATCTGTGTGGTAGAGTGTCATGGTGCATTCACACAGATCGCCTGCTGTTCACAGCATGGTACCTGACACACACACACACACACAGAGGTGCCTTACTTACAATGACTTCCAGTTTTCCTTGGACATCATGTGATTTGATAACCCAATTGACAGACTTTTTACACTTGAGGACAAGTACGATGTCTCTGACAAGCTTGGCGCCTGGTTGAGATGGTTTAATGTCAACAATTATATCCACCTGGAAAGCACTGTATGTGGAAAAATAGAGAGAAAGTAAGACCAAAATGCCAGAAATTTTCAGCTATCAACCTTCTTCCAATCCATCATGCTTCCAGTGTCTGGCCAGCTGATTAAAATTTTGGAGGTTATCCCAGACAACACAACATGTGCAAAACAGATTGTTATTCCACATATGCTTAAATGATTTAACATAACAATAGAAACAAATACTTTTAAAACAAATAATTATTTGATATTTTTGTTTTGTTTTTGGTCTACTACTTATAAAGAAAAGTACACCACTCATTTCAGCTGTGATTTGGAGCAGGCTAGTTAAATGACTGGCAGTTTACTTTACACAGTAAATACTGTTTTCTTTCCTTACTGTAAGAGTGTGTAAATATAGTTGTATCAGTTTCCCCTCAGTGTAACTGCATAAAAACTCAAAACCATACTTTAAAAAAGGGCAAAAAGTAAATAATTTTAACAATAAGAAAAGCACAAATACTGTCAGGGAAAGCTTTTCACAGTTAAACTGTGGAAATTATTTTGCTTAGGCTCTTGCGTGTGCTGAGGAATTACTATATGGTTGTATTTAGTTTCCGATACTTCTGGATATATACTTATTTTAAAAAGAGAAGAAAACAGATGTCCTGCCTACTGATTGCTGGAAAATTGATGAACATCCAAATTTCAAGACCTCAGTAAAATAAGTAAATGGATCTGTACCCATTAATATCTCCTCATGCAAAATATTAATTCAATAGAAAAAAAACTCAACTTCCAGATGATCTTACTGGACTGTATGTCATAAGAGGAACGTGCTCATTCCCAAATAACACATTTCATCTAATATTTCACAGTGCCATTTAGTATCTAGGAATCTTTACTTTTTTTCCTCTGCAGTTACACACGTCTAAGTTAGCTTCTGTATATTTCTATACAGATGTAAACTCTGTAAAGATAGATATGGAGAATGCACATAAATAGGAATGATGAAAGCAGAAGTTTAAATACTCGTCGTTTTAAGTTTTACCAGTAAATCTTTTAATTTTTTTGCAGTGTGATCCTTTGAAAAGTAAATTCTTGCTGTGCACTCCAGCCAAAGCCCATAGGCCAAGGAGGCAGAGGCTGCTGCTGCGCCCTGGGGCTCACAGCGAGGCCGGCGCAGAAGGGCGGCTCTGTTTAGGATGGGGTAGTTACTCGCACCACATAGAGGCAAATCATGTGGACTCACCTGCTCACCTCCCACACCTCTGCATTTCCTTACTCTCCCAAGTCTGCTACACAAGGGAGGCTTTTAGGAATTTTGCAGCGAGACAGCTGTCCTTACAAAACCTCTTTTCTTATTTTTCTCACAAAGGGACAAGTGTCTTAGTCTCACAGCAAATATCTCTCCAGCAGCTACAGTGTAGGCCTATGAAGAGCTTTTACAGCGGGGATTTTCTGAAGCAAACCCCACTCTTATGCTGCCACTAAGAGAGAGACACCAAGGATGAATGTGTTAAATGTCTTACTTCCAAGTTCACAGCAACTCTGACTACTTAACCCCAGTAACCTGTACAGGGAGTTAGATACTTTCCCCTAACCACTGGTTTCTAACCTTTTTGGTCAGTGGACCACTGCCAACCCTCAGCTTTTCTTACGGATTATCCTTAAACTCAATTGGAAACTTCACAGAAAATACTGTTAACTGTGATTCTGTAACATAACTGTGGAACGTGAACAGACCTTCAGCATCTGCCATGGCTGCCTGTGACCCACGGAACATAGTTTAGGAAACCCTGCTCTAGGCCTTGCTGCCAGTCACAGCTACCTGTGACAGGGCCCAGACTACCCCAGCCTCTCTCGCTTCCCTCAACAGTAGATGCCTCTTAAATCCTGTAGGTCCAATTTTAAGATTCTTCATATTTCCCAGTTCATATTATTCTTAGAGAAATTCAATTGGTCTGAGCAGGATTTCTGTTCACAAAATGTGGACAGGATCTTGCCCAGAAAAACTAACCCTGGAATCCTGTAGCAGAATCCAAAAATCTTTCCACACTGAAGTACTACTTTCTATTTGAGGTATAGTACTAAAGCACGTACACAGACAGCAACATAAGCTTATACAGACAGCTCTAACCTACTGGTGGATACTGTACCTGTATGGATTCGAATTTGGAGTGATTAGTTCAATGATATGAACTTCTCTTTCTTGGACTAAGTTGGACATAAGGCATCCTTCTGCTGTCTTTGGTTGTAGGTATCCCGCAAGATAATTTAAAGAGAGAAAGTTCTTTTCTATGTTGCATGATGCAGGAAAGACTTGATCTGGAAAAAGAAAAAAATGGTATATGCATCTTTACACATACACATCTATTTACATAAGCGTATGTACAGCTTCTGCTTAAATGCAGCACTATTTTTATGACAGATCTTCAGGCTAAAAGGTTTATCTGTGTAGTAGTTATATATCATGAGTAGTTATATTAACATAATGTTGAAAGTGAGATCCTTGTTGAAACACTAAGCACATCTCTGAAGTAAAATACACACTTCTAATTTGAATAGTTTCTATTTATGAGTTTGAACACTAAAAGAGAAATCAAAAAAGCAAAATATATAGACTTTTTCAAAAGAATTTTTTTTGCACCTTTAAGAAAAGATTTTTCTTTTGAAATCAACTCAAAATCATTTAAAGATATGATCAAATCCTCCTTTGTTTAGAAAATATTTCATTATGTTTGACATTTAAAAATATAGAAAACATTTTCTATTTTCTTAATCAATATTTCCCTTTATTTTGTGTAGTCAGTGTTGTCTAGAAAGATGGCAATTCTCTTGTATATGGAAAACCGAATATATCAAGAAAATAATGAAGCTTTTGATATTAAGGAAGGTTGATTGTAAAACCCAGAACTAGAATGTGAAAAATAAGAAAAACAGTGTAAATATTAAATCTGCATTTCATTTTTAATTGCCTAGTTGATCAGGAACATTTCCAAGTGTACAATGCAAAGCAGAAAAACAGTCACTTGGTATGAAGTTCTCATGCACAGCCTTTAAAGTTGCACACCTTTCAACTGAAAAAACAGTAGTACTTTGTATTTGAGGTGATTTTTACACATGAATTATCATACAAGATACACAGAAGAACTATGCCTTGTTCAAAGCCACATAAAGCTTGCGAGGAAGAGATCTAGAATCCCCAAGTCTCCTCTGAGCTTTGCTTTGACCACAAAACCTTTCCTATTAACAGCAGCAGCAAGGCAGAAATCACACATCAAATGCGATGCATGCAAAAACGCAGATGATCTCAAAGGTTGAGACCACTTTTAGCATCTGCTAAGACACAGCTGAAATGTCATGTGTGTGTGGTATGAAGAGACCAGAGAGTCCTGTGACTCCGGTGGCAGTGGAAACAACTAGAAGACTTCTCCTTTCTTACACAAAGCAGTCCTTCAATACGAACCTCACTTTCTTCTCCAGAGATTCTGTGAAAGCTGAGAGGCTCTAATACTCTCACTACTCAGAGAAGCCCTGCCCTAGCATCTGGTCTCTGCCTTGCCAAATCAGCCTCGAATGCAGCTGCGGTCCACCAGCTCCTCCCACCCCAGCAGAGGATGGAAAATGATCCCTAATGATCTATGCTGAACTTAAATTTATAAATGTAGACACTTACATCCACAAAAAGATAGCAGGTACTCAATCCTCAGCTGCAGTACTACAAAACACGTCACGCAATAAAGTAACAGCCTCCGAGTCATTTGTGGGTAATTGCTGCACGTGCTCCCACTAACCACTGCCACGAGCTCAATTCCTGGTCTTGGCATCTTCACAGGACCCTCTGCAAGCCCCAAAGCACTGGGGCCTCCGCCCCAGAGCTCGTGCTTGCTCTGCAGTCCGCTGCAACGCTGCCGCTGGCCGCACCACACATACCTACCCCAAAGAGGTGCCAGCACCTGCCACCAAGACCCTGGCTGCAACAGAAACAGAAAGGACATCCATCTCCCTCTTCTCTGGTCACTGCAATTATTTCTTCTTTTTTTTTTTTTTTTTTTTTTAAAGCTTAGTTTTCAGAGCTGTCTACTTACTTTGGAAAGAGGCTCTAAGAGCCTGTAGGCAATTAGAACACTCATTAAAGCAGTCAGTGAACGGTCAGCTTGTGGACCGTACGCACCCCTCTCATCTCCAGGCGCTGGCAGCATGGAATCCGACAGGAGGAATGCCCGGAACAGCAGCAGATCAGGGGCTGTGCCGGGGCCAGGCACATGTCCTGGCACCCGGAGCCCAGCTGGCACCAAGGGAGCACGGCAGAGCTGCTGGCAGCCGCCTTTCCCTTTGGGGCTTGCCGGGTGCCAGGCTGAGGCTCCGTTTTGCACACTAGGACCTAGGGCCTCCGTGGGCCTCTTGAGGATGAGGACAGACACGGTTTGCACCGCTCTGTACAAATTAGGTGTCATCTGCAGGCTCTTGGCCGAGCTAGATGGAGTCAAGTATCCCAGCTCAAAATTGTTGGATTCCTGAGAAAACGAGAGCCATTAACCAGGTGTCACACTCCCAAGACAGACGCCCTTGGCAAGAGCAGGTGATGTCAGCAATAAAAGTCCCATGCACAGGGAGCTCAACTTTTTCCACCCAGCTGGGGACGAGCACAGCATCAGGGTTTTCCTCTCAGGTGGCTAGGGGCTTCCCTAAACTGCGTTTTAAAGGTTACCAGCTGTTACTAGTATTAAGATCAAAACCCCAGCCTTAAAATGGCACCAGAGGAAACCCCGTGGCAGGTAGCCCTACAAGGAAAGCTGTGGTGATCCATGTGTATTGGGAAGGGGGAAGCCCTTTGGGCACTTGCCTGGGCCAGCGCGGCAGGCAGCTGAGCAGTAACCTACAGCTTTCAACCCCGCGCACAGCACGTGCGGCGTCAGCGTGAACAGGACACGCGTTCAGGCTCAGGGCTAAAGCTTGAGCCTCTCCCGGGACAGGAGCACAGCGTTACCCTTTGTAAACGGATTGTACGTGGAGTATTATTTGCACCTTGGGAAGCTAGCTATTTTCAGCCTAGCTATTATGGTTTAAGAGTTTTGGGGTTTTTTTTAGTTTACTTCAGAAACGTGCTGAAATTAAGTTCTCTCCAGGCTACCAAACCTGCTTTGCATTCAGTCTGGTGGTACCAGAAATTTTAGAAGAAGTTTGAAAAACAAGTTTAGGTAACATTCAGTTAACTGGTATGTGAGCACCACTGTTCAAATGTGCATCGGTCACATAAGACACTACTCCATGTGGCCACCAACTGCATGATGAGGAAACCCATGGTGTTGGGTAACATTACCCGTGGGTAACATTACCCATGAGTGCGGAAGCTGAGGGTAACTAAGGCAGAGAATAGTATCATGTTTGTATCAAAAGCCTGGAGTGTCCCTCAGCACATGCTGTGTTTTGTGAAATTTAGTGGCCGCGTTGCTTACTCCGCAGCGATGTAGGTCTGGTCTGTGTCCCATGTGTTTTTTGCAGAACTCAGTCTTGTACAACTGCTGCAGCTCAAGAACTGACCCTCTCCCCACCCCTCAACACCCGCATAATCCCCACACATACTCATTCTTCTGCCAAGAATTTAAATCAAAATCAAATATGGTTACAGTTCAGCTAGTTTGTAGAAGCTTTCTTAGAAACTGTCTATTTTGGTTGCTTGCCAAGTTCCATTTTGTGTGCTTACTCCTAACTAAATTGTGTTTTACCACACTAAGGATGATGCAAAGCTCTCAGATATTTAACTGCTTAGTTTGACTGCAGATGTGCAAATTAACAAACAAAAATATGATTTTTTTTGACATAGCTAATTAAATGTTAGTCTCCACAATACAGAGACCACTACTCCCATGCATAAATTCCAAGAGCACTTTAATAAGCTAATAAATATATTTCTGAATGATCTTCTGGCACTAAAACGCAAGACTGGTGCCAAGTAGAACAAAAATCACGGAGGGGAATCCTGCACGAATTTAGCGGATTCTGGATAAAATCAACACCAAGGTATGTTCTGCTTCTTGGGGGCAAGCCTCACGCTTCAGGAAACCAAATGATCACATACAGGGTGGTTAGGAAAGAATTTTCTCCACAGAAGGCTTTTTTGGGTAACCAACCTTTTCAACTATTCAGTCTTCTTCAGAAATAGTGCTGAAGTTCTACTGATGAAATAAAAAAAAAAAAAAAAAAGGCTGCTGAGCCCACCAGGACTTGCTGCATGTTGTTTCAAATAGTTTGAACTGAAAAGTAGTGTACTCCTCCCAAATGGAGTGCTTCGCTCCAAGAATGTAATGCCTTCATCTAGAAAAGCTGTGGCTCTTGATCTGCAGTTCAAATGCAGCTTCCTTGTAGAAACTGCTACATGACCAGCTGAGGGAAAGCGAGAGCCAGGAAGGGCTGCAGAGGCTCCTACTCACTCAGCTGCACAGCCAGCACAGCCCTACCCTAACACGGGCCTGTGAGATCCCTCAGGAGCTGCCGTCATCTCCCACCTACAACCAGAGTTTCCCCTGCTATTGGCATAGCCTTTATCCTGGGGCTTGTAGCCACCTGAGGAACTTGGCATCCAGTTCCCAGGCACAATAAACCTTGCTCCTTACACTGATAATTCACACAAGTGTTAGACTGTGGTTACTTCAGTGAGGAAGATGATTCTTTGCTCAAAGCAGCCTGGATGCTTTGCTCAAAGTAGCCTGGATGCAAGGAAATATTGGGGGAAAAACATAACAGGTCTTTTTAGACCTCAGCCTTTAGAGGGAGCCACCAAGCCCATCACGGTGACCCAATTCAGTCATGTTAGAAGGTGAAACTTTTGCATAATGTAACTTCGGAAAGATTCCGGCCAATGATTCTGCGTCCAAGTTTATGAGCTTAAAGTTAGGCCCCAAGATTCCACTCAAACCTGCTTAAAGCCAGGCTCTAGTCTTTAGGCTTGCTTTTCCCTGCCTCTCCCTTTCATATCACAACACTTGGAATTTGAGAGTTATGTTTAATGACTAAGATATAGAATGAGAAATGAGAGTGAAACTTATTCTTGCTTGAATAGGACTGTCAAACAATTCTGTTCATTTTTTACCTTCTCCTACTTTGATATAGATGTTTCTTGATATTTTGAGTTCAGTGAAAGATGTGACTGCTCCATATTCCTTTTGGGCCCACTGTAGCAGATGTTCATTTTTCTCAGGAAAAAGCTTTTCTTCTGTTTCTGCTGACAAGGAGAAATTTCCCTTCTCAAACTGAACAACGGAACCTAAAGATACCTAAAGGGAATAAAACAGTTTTCATGTGATGCATTTTTCTGCATAAACAGGTAAAACATTTAAGAACAACATAAGCTGTCACACCAAAATACATTCATTGATGATAATTACAGCCTATTTGCCATTACTGCCTAAATTTTGTGTATTTTATCATCACCATAATGATTCCTTTAAAAAAAGGCCTTTTGTTGTTGTTTTTAAACAACTGTTTTAAATAACATGAGATTTCCAACCAATCAGTCTAGACAAGGTACACACGTGGCAGCTGACCTAAGCCTCTAAACAGGGAAGACGGGAAGAAGTAAGAACACCATGGACCAAATAGTTCACAGAATGGTGAATTTGGTAAATATAATGGGAGGCAATCAGCTCTCACACTCAGCATGCCACTTGGTGAGGTTAAAGTGATAGCACATCACTTCAGAGGAGAAAAAATAAAGTCTGTCAGTTCTTGCACAAGGCACCAAGACTGTACACAAGCATTCATAAAAGTTGCTGCAATAGCAAGGCTTTCTACTAATGGGACAAAAGTATTTTTTCTCAAATTGAAAATCCCCAAATACTAACAATGATGTTAATCAGATCTGTGAAAAAATACACCATAAAATTTTCTAAATATTATTTACACATTCTATAGCAGAATAATAGTCTTAAGTATCTAACATTTTAAAGAACAAAATATACCAATAGGAATTAAATAACATGAATTATCTGCAACCAGGTTCCAATTACACAAAATTAACCAAAAACAACCAACCACTACCTCCCCTGGGGCTCAGATTTAATAGCACTATTATTTCACAATGCTCTGTATCAGTTTGTTCAGCCTACACAAATATTTGTCAAAGTAGACATACAAATTATATCAATGGCATATAGAGTGAATTTCAACAGTTCTTACTATTGAGCTATTATATGCTATAACACACACATCACATACTCCCTTCTAAGAGGAGATCTGTATCGTTCAGAGTTTCATATGACCAAACCTGTCACAGAAAACGGCTTAGGAATTCTTTGTTTTTGCCAGAATAGTTTTCAAAGTTTAAAGTAACATCTGTTTCAGTTCTGAATGATTTTTAAAAGACAACCAGAAAACATTTCCTTTAACTGGAGAGAGAGAGAAAAAAGTTTTAATGTAACATTGAATGCACCACATTAGCCCACTTTTCAAATAAGGAAGCAAACTGCCTTCTTCGGGGGAGGCATGTGGAGACACTGCTGCACCGTATCCAATACACATCTCGCAGCCACGGCTGGGATTTTCAGAGACGCTCAACGTTGGTGTATTCCCCTAAGAAAAATTCACTCCCCTCTGCATGAATACTAGGAAAAGGCAGTCACAATAATATTTTCAAAAAGCACTATTTAGCATAAAGTATTCTCCTTGCAATCCCACCACTTAAATGTAGTTATATAATGATTTTATGGGGCACCTCTGCAACGCATGGAGATGAAGAACCCCTGGCCCCAGGCCAGCCAGCCCACGTGCAGGGCCTGCTCAGCTGCTCCTTCTGCCTGAGCTGCTACACTCAGCAGCTACGTGGGACATCTTGGAACTGCCCTGATGTAACCAAGAAAATCTGTGCATAAACGTTGTAGGATTTAAGGATTTAATCAATTATTTTGCAAGGATATTCAATACATTCTGTCATCCCACTCTCAGTAACCAAAACTCCTCAACAGCTTCAAAAATGCCACACTGTGTTTGAGAAGTACAGAAAACGCTGTTCGGGTACACGGTTTCATAACATCCCTGGTTATGCTAGTGTAACCCTTTAAGGCATTTGAGGAAAACATGAGAGAAAAGCAGTAATCCTTATGAACACTGACATCAGAAATGCTTTAACAGACAATAATGCACTTGTACTTTCTATTTAGTACATGAGATAGCACTTAACAGAAATTTAACTTTCTTCCTCAGAAAAGACTTGTTTATCCATGTATTACTAAAATGTAAAATTCTGCACTGTTCTGGGGCACGACAACCCGCTCCTGGCGAGCAAGGTCCTGCCTACAAACCCTCGAGGCTCCCGAGCTGCAGCAGGGACAAGCGCACGGGCAGAGCATGGGGCAACGCAGAGCCTGGCACCAGCACCTGCACTTACTGATGCTACATTAAGCCAGAAAAGCACCTTCAAATAAATACCATGCTAATCTGTTGGTTTTTTTTTCCCTTCTCTCTTCTAAATCACACCCTGCAACCTGTACTTGCAATGTCGATTCCACAATACAATTCAGAGAGGATCCCCTGCGCCTGCCAGGGCATGGATTTTTACTACAAGGGCCTAAGGCAAGGTTAAGTGAGCCAAGCAGTTATTTTTTCTGGAAGCCATTCAATTGGCTCTTCCAAAAAAGGCAACCAGCGCTTGGTTTGAACACCTGCCTTGCACATTAACTACTTACTCTTCAGAACAAACCCAAAGCAGCTTTCTCTGAAGTACTTTGGGGTGCCACAGCATTGAACCAAGGAACATTTCCCATGTGCAGCAAGACACCTGCATCTTTTCTCCTGCCGGCTGATTAGGAAACTGCTGCCACATCCACTCTCATCTTCTCCCTTCATCTCCTTCAGCAGCTGCTCTCAGAGGCCGTGGAGTGGGCCACGTGCCTCAGCTGTTTCTTCCTGCAGTTGTGAGGCCACTCACTGGACGGCGCAGGCAGCACCACGCGCCTGCACGCCCTGAAGACACTGGCCAAGGAGACACCAACCATGGCGAGAAACACAGCTCTAAAGGCTGCACGTATCAATACAGTGTTTGGGAAACACGCTGTTGAGGAAGCAAGCTTTCCTCCAAAGAGCAAAACCTGCTCACGATGTACTGTGATCACGCACAGCACCAGCCAGGTAAAGCCTACTGACCAGAGTGGGAAATGGGGATGGAAGTTTGCTTTGCACTGGGCACTGACAAAACTTATATCCCTCATCCTGAAAAGGCCTTTATAGCTCTATTACAACGTCTTTCCAGGCCTGCAGGAATTACCATTGCAATGCTATTGTAACACAAGTTACCTGGCTGATGAGAGCCAAACTGTGTAGGTTACCATTCCTCAGGAGAAGTCTTGGAACCAACCACTGGGGTCTCCAACACATACACTAGTACCTCAATGTTGGAAACACTGAAAACAGCCCTTTTGCTTCCTATTTTACCCATCATCTTATCTCCTTTACAATATATATATTTTCTGATCTGACCCCTTCAGATATATTACTTTGTCTTCGGACATTTTAACTATTTAATGCAGATATCACTCAGAACACTGAGGTAAGCAGCAACTTCATTACTTAACCTCGATAGAGAGGTCGGCACCTGCAGGACATGACTCTCAGTATCAAGGTGAAGCACTCGCAGCTTCCCAGTGTGAATCACCCTCCCATCACAGCACCAGCTCCATCACTACCTGCTAGGGCCCCTCCAGCATCAACAACAAGCAGCAAGCCAAGAGAGAGGCAATAAAGGAACAGAAAAGCAGCTGCTTTTGAGTTTCCACCTGAGCTGTATAATATCAGACTTGCAAAAGAAGTAAGAGCAGAGTAAATCCGAGTAAAACACAGGAACTCAAAACAACTTTCAGAAAAACTCAGTCAGACTGTTGAGATTCAGCCAGTGTTTTTGATAATATACACTGATAGGCTTTGGTCCCTTTAAGAGAAAGGGTGAAAACATGAAATACAGAAATATTATGCACTCTAAAGCTCAAAGCATCTTCTTGGCTGTTCATAAATCCACACAAAGTACGATCACCAAGAGAACAATTCTGTTTGGTAGACAACACACTGCTTTTGAAATTCGATGCAATGTAAATGTGTCACAAATCTATGAATCATATTGCATAGCTCTTACCAGCCACAGAGATCAGATACTCTCATGTAGTAAGTTTTTCATTTACAGTTTAGCGTTCATTTTTCATTTTCAGCTTCTTCTCGAAACCATTTACAGCTATCACAAAATGCCACTTCCACTTCTTACATTTTTGAAAACAGAAGCAAAAAAGAATCAACGTTTCTTATCTGCAGATTTTAACTTTACTGCCTAGAAGGCAAATTCTTTAACTACCAATGATCTTGATGGGAATCAGCGCTGCTCTACACCTTCCCAGGATGAAGGTACAATTTAGTGGATCGCTTACACAGGTGTATTTTCATCTATATAAGATGATGCTGAATTTTCCATTGAAGTCCATGACTGCATGGCAAAGCAAGGGCTGCCTTCAGAACTCCCGTGAGGCAGGTTGCTAGAACAACCAAAAATCCATGCACAGAGCAAGTCTCTCCCCAAATTCAGGGCTGTTTGCAGCAGTTTAACTGTATTAATTGCATATAGCTAACTGGCCTTTATTATCCTACTGTAATCTTAACAGAATCAGTATAATGTATTCAGCTGATATGAACAAAATAAATCAGCAGCAGAAGCCTTTTTCAGTGACTCTGTTCCAGGTTAGATTAAATTTAGTGGAAGATGAGAAGGGGAGAATTAAAGCCTATCTAGGCAATCGCTGCTAGTGTTTCCACTGGAATCGATGACTCAGTAACACAACCTGTTGTGATTTATTACGTTCACGTCACTAGCGCCAGCCGCCTGCCAAAGTTTGCTTCTGTAAACTTCCACACGCGAAACTCCGGCTGATGGGAGCAGGCGAGGATGGGAAGGAGCTGTGGGCAGAGAGGAGAGGAGGCTACCACAGACAGCTGCTCCAGGCCCTTCAGGATACTGCAAAATGGCTCTGGAAAGACACTTCACCCTCCTTATCTTTCTGAACTCTTGCAACTTGGACCAGCGTGAGACCCCCGAGGAGCAGCAGCGTCCAGGCCCAGCCTGTCACACCACCAGCAGGAAAGCTCTGGTTGGAGCAGGGACCCTTGTAGGCAGACCAAGAAGCTTAAAAAAGCACTGAGCAATAATGCCTGAGTTTGCAAAGATAGCTTAAATCACCTAGGACTAAGTGAACTGAAAGTAGAGCCAATAGGAACTACATGATAACAGATCAGGCTACTAAAA